AATTACAAAAAATCGCTGCATCATCTTGATTCTGACATCAGTAGTGCTCTTCAATGAATGGCTTTCCTACACCATTTGTGCCATGAACTGGCCAGTGCCAGAGGAAGTGACGGAGGAACATGTGAAGGTGCTTATTGCAGCTGATCCCCAGATCCTGAGCACGGACTCCGAGCCTGGCTTCCCCTTCAACTATATCGCAGTCTGGGATGCAGACAGGTAGGTAGGGGTGTGTGTGTGTGTGGGTGTGTGTATGTGTGTGGGTGTGTGTATGTGTGTGGGTGTGTGTATGTGTGTGGGTGTGTGTATGTGTGTGTGTGTCTGTGTCTGTGTGTGTGTGTGTGTGTGTGTGTGTGTGTGTCTGTGTGTGTGTGTGTGTGTGTGTGTCTGTGTGTCTGTGTGTGTGTGTGTGTGTGTGTGTGGTATTAGGTGTGAACATTAATATTTGTTTATCTTGATTTTTTAGCAGTTCAGTATTTGAATAGCAATAGTATACTAGTTGATAACGTGAAAGCAAAAAAATCCATTTGAATATTCATTTGATTTTTTCTTTCTTTCTTTCTTTCTTTCTTTTTTCTTTTCCTTTTTTTCTTTTTAGTAGACTTTATTGTTTTTTTCTCTTTTCTTTTGAGGAAGGAGCAAGTCATCAGTTGGACTTTGGCAAGACGCTGCACCATGATCCTGTTGTGTGTGTGTTTGCTTGTGTTTCTTTCTGAGCCTCTTGACTTTTTATTCTGCATCTGTTTTCTTATTTCATTTTTGTTATTGTTTTTGGCTTGTTTTTTTTTTTTCTAAATTGGAAAAGACTTTTGTATATTTTTGTTTTGTTTTGTTTTTAGAATGTGATCCTCACTGAAGAATAATGTATTTCATCATGCATCATCCCTTTTTATTTTTAAACTTATTTATTATTTTACTTGTATGTTTGTCATTGTTCTGTTGTTTTTTTTTCTGTTTTCTGTTTTCCCCTTTTCTTTTTCTTTCTTTTCTTTCTTTCTCTTACTGTGAATTTCTCCCTGCTCCTCTTTCTTTGTTTCTCTCACTTTGTCTGCTCTTTCCTTTATTGTTGAATAATATACTAATGAAGTAATACTTATTACATACCATTACCTCTCTATGTTGAATATCTACAACCACATATGAGTAAGTAACTTGCCAAAAATATGAAAATAAAGAAGTTTAATATGGTCTGTTAACCGTTTTGATTTTCTTCTCATTTTATCAGGTTTGTAAGTCGAGGGTTCCAGCTAGCTCTGTGGAGAACCAGGCCCCAGGTGGTGATTTTCCTCGGAGATGTTTTGGACGATGGCAGCACCAGCAGTGACGTAGGCTTCAGGGCTAAGGCCGAGCACTTCAAAAACCTCTTGCGCATTCCTGATTATGTTGAAGTAAGTGTTGTAGTAGTTTTTTTCTGTCTCTCTCTTTTTTCTTTTTTCTTATTTTTTGGGGGATTAATTTATGTTTTTTTTTTTTTTTTTAAATTCAGGACATCAGAAGGGTTTGATTGATTTTCATTTTGAGTGTAGAGTTGTGTGTTGATAAGATAATTGAAAATATGTAATTAAGGATAAAATTATTTATTTATGTACAATGAAATAGGAATTCTCTTTGTTGGTTGATAAAGAATTGTGATATTTACAAATTAACAAATCCAGTTTATAAAAAAGGTTAAATGACAACAGAAAAAAAAATTACATATGTAAAAGAAAAAATATTCTTGAAGTAGAAACTTCATTTATAATTTTTTCTCTCTCTCTCTCTCTAGCGCACTATATATGTACCTGGGGATAATGACATAGGTGGTGAGGGAATGGACCAAGTGACACCAAACAAAGTCAGCAGATTTTTCTCGGCATTCAAGCAGACAGATGTTGACTCGTTCAAATTCCTTGATTTTGTTCAGGTATGATGAATGGTAATTCATGTTATACAGCTGCTATTGTGAAGTAGTGAATGGTTGTGAAGATACTAATACAGTTTTGTTTTATATATTCTAATTTTGCTTGTCTTGTGTTGTATAGAGACAATGCTCATGCAATATCTGGTGTTTTTTCTCTTTCTCTGAAGAAGGTTACTTCTTTACAGCTAATAAAACAACTGGAATAAGAAAAAGTTGCCTCAGTTGGGAATCATTTCACATAAGGAATTCACGTATTTGTCTACGCTTTTCAGCTTCGTATCATGGACACCTTCGGGAACGAGAGCCAACCTCTCCCCGAAGATGAAAACAGAATGCGGATACTTCTGTCACACATGCCTCTCCTGCCAGTCACGAGGAAAGCTATTAAGAAGGTACTTTTTCAGAGGCATTGACAGAAGAAAAGCTACTTTTATTTACTGTTTGTGCTAAGAGGATCCTTACTAATATTTAGGAAAACACCTGTATATTGTATATATTTAGTATATGTATATATATTTATATATATATATATATATATATATATATATATATATATATATATATATATAGAGAGAGAGAGAGAGAGAGAGAGAGAGAGAGAGA